AATCCATCGCCATTTCTTCCTGCCTATTCGTTTCACAATCGGTTCCTGCTGTGTTGGTTCGCTCATTGCCAGAGATCTCTGTTGCTGATGTTTTCTGGCCAGCCATCTGATCTTGAGTATTGAGCGAAGACAACTGTTAATGAAGGTCTGTAGTTTGCTCGAAGTGCCCTACGTGACGCACAGTGCAAGTCTCTGATCTGTATAGGAGCACTGATTTCACATTGGAGTTGAAAATCCGGATGTTATTTTTGATGCTGAGTGCTGTTGACCTCCATACTGACTTGAGAGTAGTGAAAGCTTGTCTTGCTTTTCTGATTCTTGCTTTGATATTCTCGTGAGTTCCGTTCGCCTGTAGTTGAAACGATGCTTCCCAGGTAGGTGGTAGAGGAGGTTGTTTCTTTCAGTTTCCTCCCATTTATGCTGATTGCTGTCTGCTGTTGTTGTTGCTGTTGGTGGTGTTGGCCAGGAATCTTCATCACCTCTGTTTTCTCTATGTTCACCTGAAGTTCTATCTTCTCTGGATGCTTCTTCTGCCAACTTGTTGCTTTTCGCTTGCATGTCTTCCAGTTTGTGAGAAATCAGACATATATCATCGGCGAAGTCCAGATCCTCCAAGTTTTTTGTTTGAGTCCATTTTATACCTGTTTCCTCATTGCCCGCTGTGCGTCTGTCACATTATCCAGTCTACTGCAATCAGGAAAATCATTGGCGACAGTAGGCAGCCAGCCTTGTCTTACTCCTGTCCTCACTTCGAAGGATTCCGTAAGTTTCCCGTTGTGGATTACTTGGCATGCGCAGCATTGTCGTACAGCTGTTGGATGAGATATATAATTGTCGGTGGCACACTGTAGTAGCGAAGCAGTTGCCAAAGTACCTCTCGACCGACGCTGTCGAAGGCCTTTTTCAAAGTCGACTTATTGCCCACCCAAAAATTATTGAGAAAGAAACGGAGATAGTTTGGACATACCTTGAGGAGACATCGTGTAGAATCCGAATGGGAAGTGATATGTTGGGTGTCGGAGGGTGAAATGGAGAAGGTTATATTGTAACAACAGAAGGCAAGACACGGAAGCCAAAGTATATTTTTCACTAATCAAATCGCTGTTTATGTATCTACAGTTTATATTCGTTAACCAGTCACTGAGTGTGTGATTTCGGTTTACATCAAACAACATGAAATAGGATGTTCAAATATACACAGTATTGCGTCGCCACTGAAGTAGTAAACTGTGGGAAAGTATCCTGTCTCTAACATCAAATATAATGTTCAAATAGATATATATTGTATTCTGTTGCTAATGCCGAATTGAACTGTGGGAACATGTGAGAATAAAAATTCCGTTGGCACACATTGTCTGTTTCACACCACCACAATATGAGGGGAAAATAAAACCTTGTGGAAGTCGTCGCGCCAGTTAAGCCAAATATGCTGGTAGTGAGTGTACATTTCTACCTAGGCAGTCGGACAGCCACTAAACTATATCTGTACGCAATAAGTCATTTCACTGAGTAGATGCACTTTCTGTATCACAAAGCATATTTTACATAAATGAGAAAATTAAATTAGTAGATACGTATGAATTTAACGAAAACAAAACACGTATTTCAGAGAAGAGACTCTTCACAGCTAATTCCTTCTCTTTAGCTGTACAATCGCATTTATCTACAATCATTTTCTCACGAAAAGCGGTAGCAGCAAAAGTGATGAGTTGTTGTCATAATCATTGTTGTTAATATTAGTCAGTGCATTAGAGGAGTTGAATAAGTGTATTATTATTATTATTGTTCCCTTGAGTTCCTAGTGGAACAAAGGGCTTCAACTGCACGTCTCCACTTGTTTCTGTCTTCTGCTGTACTTTTCACCTGCATCCATGTTAGTCCATACTGTTTCAACTCTTCTTCACACGATCTCCTCCATATCACCCTTGGACGTCCCACTCTCGCCGCTTCCCTTTCGGATTCCACTCGAGCGTTGGCGTGACGCGCGATGTCATTCAGCGGCCTCCTCAGCGAGTATCCAATCCATCTCCACTTTCTCCTGCATATTTGTTGAGCAATTGGTTCCTGTTTCGTTTGTTTGTTCCAATAGTTTCTTGTTGGTTATTCTATCCGGCCATCTAATCTTCAGTATAGAGTGAAGAAAGTTGTTGATGAAGGTCTGCAACAGGCTGTTGGAAATATTCTGTGTGACCCACCAAGTTTCTGATCCGTTTAGAAGAACTGACTGACTTGACGTTTGTATTGAAAATCCGAATTTTGTTGTTGATGTTGCTGAGTGACGAAGATTTCCAGATTGGTTTCAGGTTGATGAATGTGTTTCTCGCCTTCCCGATTGCTCGATTTGACATCCTCGTCCATTCCTTCTGTAGTTGACACAATGCTCCCTAGATAAGTGAATGAAGTAACCTCTTTCAAATCCCTCCCGTTGATGGTGATTGGCCCTGAATGTTGCTGCTGTTGTAGTTGTTGGTTGGTTATTTTCATAACCTCCGTCTTGTCCATGTTCACCTGGAGTCCTGTCTTCTCTGGCTGCTTCTTCGACCAGTTTGTCGGTTTTCGCTTGTAAGTCTTCGATCTTGTGTGACATCAAACAGAAATCATCCACCCGCGAAATCCAGGTCTTCTAGGTTCTTCACGTCGGTCCAGGATATCCCTGTCTTCTCGTTTCCCACTGTCTGACGCATAATCCAGTCCACCACAATTAGGAATATCATTGGTGATAATAAGCACCCTTGTCTAACTCCTGTGTTTACTCCAAACACCTCGCTGAGTTTTCCGTTGTGGATCACTTGACATGTGCCATTGTCGTACAGCTGTTGAATCAGTTTGATGAATATTTGGGGTACGCAATATTCATCAACCTTATTCAACAGCTGTTATGTAATAAGATGAACAATTAAATGAATGAGTTGTAATCAGAGTGCACACAGAGACGAAAGAAAATATGGAATTACGCAAGGAGTTAGGAAGACAAGCAAACCAAAATCAAGTGAGTAGGAATCAGCAAGACTGCTATCATGATAGTAGAAGTGGTTGGATACTTTTCTTTTGCATGCGTAGCTCCTGCTTCTCTATCCGAATAGCTAGAGTCTAAGTGCTGCAAAGCGTATTGCCTTTGTGAGACCATTCTGGGAACTAGTCGTAACCATTTTTTATCCCTTCACGCTCCTAGTGAAACATAGAACTTCAAGCTAACTTGATGGAGTCTAACCTAGGACGTGTTTATTGGTTGACCAGCGGTTAGGACTCTCGCCAACCATGCACATGGTCCAGGGTTCGATACCCCGCCGCCGCGCCTGCAAAATTTGGGCTACCGATATCACATGCTGAAAATTCCATTGTTGTACGAAAAATACTTTGTGGAATCGAGCTATAATAAAAAATAAGACTAATCAGCACCCATTAACGATATTATGCACTTAGGAAGTGTCTGCTTAGATCGTGAAAATGAGAAGATAAACACTTCAAACAGTGTATTAATTACGAACACAGCTAACCGTCGACATCCTCTGTTTTCCCTTAAACATCAGTTCTCTTACTTTAGTAACATTTGAATGACTTTACGTGGTTGGAGGCTTTTGTTTCTTGGCATTATCTGTACCCTTAAGACAGTGACCGACCTCCTACTGGAGTAAATAAGATACACTTAGTAGTCAGGAAGTTTGGTATAAGTCACTGTCATCAGTTAGTTGTGCTCCGAATAGTTGGATGATCAGAAGTACTATTTTATCAGTGAGTGTTATGAATTTGAACCTATAGGCTGTAGAATCCCACCCCTCAAATTTACAAATACTCATTGTCATTCCACTACCGATATCATTGCATTAAATTACCTGTTAAGGACTGATTTTCTCTGGCGTTTTTAATAATTACTTGCTTATGCTTGGGCTATGAGATGTAAATGATTTTAAAATCCGAAACAATTGATTTGAAAAAAACTATCGTGACAGTATTTACTACTGATATAGCTGGATGACACATCGTAATTCTTCTTCTTTTGGGTTCCGATTTAAACGCAGTATTTCAGTAACTTATAGTTATTTTAATTTCTTTTCCTCAGTCGCTTTTCTCTGGTTACACGATTGCCTGTAAGCATTTGTTTCCCCCTCACATGAAGTCTCCTATGTCACCATTGGACGTCTAACTCGTTGTCGCTTGTTCGAGTTCCATTCTAGCGTCAACGGTCTCCTCGGCATATGTCCAATCCACTTCTATTTCCTTTTGTGTATTTTTAGACAATGGCTTCTTGTTTGGTTCACTGCCTGACACTGTTTCCCGCCGCCTATCCCCTCTGGATATCTGATCTTCAGTATGTAGCGAAATCGGCTATTAATGAAATTCTTTTCGTGTACAGGAGCATGATTTTGCACCAGTTCTTGGAAAGACTTATGTCCCCGCCTTCTATGGGAGTCTGACAAGGTAGCCTAATCTCCTAATCAGCAGTTATCCTTCCTCCCCTTCGAAGCCCTGTGCAACAGTTGCCCGAGTATATCCACTGACATCTCTAAGTCCCTTTTCGGTACTTCTGGAGAAATTCTTTGTAGTCGATAACGCTTTCCCAGCTTTCACGTTATTTCTGCTGCTATCTAGACTGACACTAATTGTATCAAGCAGAGGATTGGCATTCGAGTTATGGTCTGCCTTTCTAGGAACTTATTTCAAAACAAAAAATAGTTTTGACAATTCATCGTCAAATAACATTTACTATTTCAACTGACAAGGATAACGTTTTTGTAAATAATTAATATGACATACAGTTAGTTGTCTTTCAGTTGAGACATAACTGAGGATTACTCACCCCATTATTTATTCAGTATTTTCATGTAATCATTGTGACATGTTCATGAATATATTTTTTATTAATATTACTAAGAAATGCTCTCTTCAACTGAGTTGTCATCATTGTTTACTTTTTGATTTCTATTCTATTTTGATTCTCAATGCACTTCATTCATCTCCAATGTGAAATCTATACGCCACACTAAACTACTGATGCGTAGACTCTGAGATTAAGCATATGACATTTGCAGATATCATCTTTTCAATGTATACAACCGCGTATTTTCAAATGTTTGGTGATTTCAGTTTGGATGCATTACAAGGAGAAGGTAAGTAGAAACTGTATAACTGTATAATAATGACAATGATTGTTTACCTTATGAATTATTTATGACTTTTTGCATTATTATTTCTGTATTTATTCGACTTGAGATTGTCTCATCTCCTCTCATCTCATCTCAAGGAAAACAATAATAATAATAATGGGAATAAAAGTATAAATGTATATCTCATTGCGACTATTAATTACAAGTACACTGTAAGCTACTCATAAGTAGTATAAGTTAATTCTGATCAAGATTTAATTGAATAGTTCCATATGCTTTGAGCGCCTTGTGAAAAGTATTTATATGTATCTTCAGAGAAGACGCAACTATGCCGAAGAAAATGTTAGAATCATCTGTTTCAACGCTGCTTCTATTTATTTGAAAATATAGCCTCCACCTATGTCTACATTCATGAGCAGAATAAAGGCTCCAGGAAGTAGATAATTTTTGTTTCTGGAAAATTCTTCACAAAAATAGTTTTGAAAAACACTCACAAAACAGACTGAAAGGTGTGAGAAGAACAATACTGACTAGAAGGGAATGGATTTTTGTCACTTTCTAGAGAAACTTAGCCTATGGAATACGGTAAAAAGTACAGTTTAGTTTATTGAGCCTGCTTTGCAAATAATATCGTTAATGTCTTAGCCTGACTGGTTGAGGACCGTCGGTAGGAAGTCCTGAACTTAGATCTCATGCTTTTTGATGCTTGTCGGGACGGTAGGACAGTCCGTAAAGCTCCCCAACATCTCTGTCTGCAGCAGTCGGTGATGCAAATGCGAATAACTGAATGGACATAATATCCTTCAAGGTTATAGATACGCCTTCCTAACGATTCCCATCGGCCACGAAACGTAGGTAAAGGGCTTCCTACTAAATGCCTATAGCTACAATGCCTAACACAAAATAAAATAATTACGTAATTTCTGCAAATGGTTTATTTACTAATTTCCTGTGAACTCCATGTTGAATTTTATCCTTTTTTATTGTATAGATCGTACATGTCAGAATCATATGTGTCCTACAAAAACATCCCGTTGGCTTGTTCCAATTATGCTTGGATTCTATGTCTTATTAACAAATATACTGATGTTCAACTTACTTATTGCCATGTTTTCGTAAGTTATTCTTAATAAATTATATATACATTTCAAAAGTAGCGCAGATTTTTAAATCAGATGCCTAAAAATGAGGCTGCTCAATGGTCACCATGGATAGTTAGCAATATATACACTTCACAAAAAGACGTAACTTTCGGAGAGAACATCAACTAATGAAGAAGATTTACGTATGACGTAGACACAAATGTGATACGAGCTTATCCCTTATTTTTAAAATCAAACCCAAAGATTCAACAATAAGACACTATCACATCTCTTCGTTTATTTCTCATTCCTTTGCTTTTCGAGTGGGATATATAACGCCAGACATTAGAAATCTCAGTAGAAATGTTGCTTATACAGAGCAGGACTGCTAACCTCACACTCCAACTTCCCTCTTTTCTTGGGATTCTACGGAGTAGTAAACTAGGCAGCTTAGGACTGCGTCAGTTGAAAGTTGAAGGGGAACTTCCCCAGTGGCTGTCAAGCATTCTAGTATTGGATCACTGACTCAGAGAAGAATGAAAAAGTACTGGACAGCAAATAAAGTATAATTATATTTCAATAGTTTACACAAAATGATAAGTTTTGTTATTGGTAATATTTCGAGCAAAATTACTGCCCGTAATCACACCAGTTTTCGAATTGTTTTGTTCACACATTTATGATTTGTACTCAAACATTTAGTTCATTATTTTTGCTCATTCATGTTTTTTTTGTATTTGAGTTATATTCCTCGTTCATTCATGTTTTTGTATTCAGAATTATATTCCAAGTTGTTGATAGTTTTACTGAGTCACCCTTGTTACATGTATCCGGTGGGACTTTAATACTGAACAGCCGTTTCACTCTAGTTTGGAACTACGGCATTACTCAACTATGACCCCGCTGGGAGATTGAAACAGGACCTTTAGGTTATGAGATGGGGTCGCTCATCACGTTATGAAAGTATACCGTTGACTGAGTGGCCAGAATGTTAATTTACATGAAGTTAAGATGTGATAAGGAGTATGATGTATAGCTTGCTGAACCACTGTCTGGCATCTCCAATAAAGCATTCAGCATCATATACAGGCATGGGATTATTAGTGAGATAGGTTATGTGTTAAGCATCTATCTAACTGTTCTGTCAGATAAGTTACTGACCAAACAGTCCGTAGATTGCCGTTGTCTTATCTAAATAGGCAGTCTAAATTTCATGGCCATTATAAGAATTCGGAGTCATCGTCCTGGAGGATATCGGTTCCCGCTGCATGATAGCTTTATGTGTTGTTGGCAACAATTTGGAGGGTCTGCTTCCATTCATCTCTCTCACAGACCCTGGGCACTTATATACCATATGTCCTCATACTTTCGCTCATCAAATATGCAGAAGAAGATGGAGATGGATCGGACTTACGATGAAGGGACCGTTGAGTAGCATCATGCGCCAGGCCATCATTCCAGTGTAACGCAAATAGGAAACGACGAATTGGAAGTGTATCCGAAAGTGACATGGAAGGAATCCTATGAGGAAACGATCACTGTCCATGGAAAATCATCGAACTTGCTAAAGAAGACCAAAGAGAACAGGAAAAATTGGTGATGTTCTGTTGAATCCCTCTGTTCCAAGAGGAACCTAACGAAATAACAGCAATAGTAGATAAGAACTAACTAATAATAGAGACTTGTGGTCATTACATCACTGCCTGATATCATCAGTACTGAAAGGCATATTCTGAAATACCCATGGATAATCATCTCCCACTTTGTCTTTATATCCAACTGTTGTTATTAACTGACTGAATTTTTTTTTATGAACTCAGAATCACTCTATCTTTTTGACATTAGCACTTTAACTACTATGTATTTGTAAGTAGTATGATTAAAAATGGTTATCTTTTGTTCCGCATTTTTCGTCTAGTAAAACGTATGAAGAAATTGAAAGTGCATCAACATACTATTGGAATTATCAAAGATATCAAATGATTAATGATTATGTCCACAGATCACCACTTGCACCGCCTATAATTATTGTATGGCATTTTTATGAAGCTTATAAAGCTATTGGTAATCAATGTGCAAGTTTACGAAATGCAGAGACAACTAAATATAATCCATTCTGTAAGTTCAACACCTTTTTTCTATTGTTTGTTAACAGTTTAGAAAGTCGTTCAAGCGTATTCTAATCGTTTATGTAGTGTTTTATTTGAGAGTCTTGTAAGCAGTTTAGTTGCAGGAGATATTAATTTAAATTAAAGCCTCGTTAAGATAAGTCAACATCTTCGTTATGAGTTCTGAAAGTGTATGTGTGCACTGAGAAGTCTTTCTCAGGAATAAACTGTCCAATTCACTGACATTCAGCAGTGAATTTTGGAGTCAGAATGGCAGATGTCACGAAAGGCAATTCGAACAAACTACAGACCTTCGTCAACAGCTGTCTTCACTAAATATTCAAGATCAGATCGCCGGCCAGTAAAGATCAGCAACAGGGATCTCTGAGAGCGAACCAACCTACCAGGAACCAATTGTGCAACAAATATGCGGGAAGAAATGGAGGTGGATTGGCCATACTCTGAGAAAACAAACCATCAAGTGACACCACAGGACAGGCCATAGCTCGAGTGGAACCCGAATGGGAAGCGGCGAGTTGGTCGTCAGTGCGAGGGTGACATGGAGGAGGACGTCATGTGAAGAGGAGTTGAAAGCATGTGGGCAGACGTGGATCCGGGTGGAAACGTTGGCACAAAACGGATCGCTATGGAGAAGTGTGGCTGAAGTCCTATGTTCCTCTAGGAATTAAAGGAAACAATAATTATAATAAAAATTGTAATGCTTGTATTTTGGATGCGTTGATTTTATCATGTTTTCTCCACTACCATTCAAACATTGTTTATATTATTGTCATTATTTGTAACCAATGCAATTCGCGGGAGTTTGTAGCTGATGAGGAGAACCTGTGAAATAGAATGATGATATCATAATTTATACTGCAAATCTCATCTTTCTTTCTTTGTTGAAATCCACCAAGGGAACCAAATGTATGAAATATTTGATTTTATTATATATCATGTTCTGACTGACAGCATACATATTCTAAGTGATAACGAAAATTAATTGACTATCATTATTCTACGCTGCACTTGTTCCACAATGCACTACTTTCTGATATTTCATACAGCCACTTCTCTTTGAATTAATTTGAATAAAGAAAGAACGAAGATATTTGCAAACAAGATAATATGAGCTCGTTTTATTTCGTGGATTCTCTTCAACTGCGTACATCCTAAACAACGCCAATTACAATATGTTGCAACATTTCTGACTTTTTTTACAATGATTTCAAATGTTATAGACAGGAGATATAGGCAACATAATTCCAAAGATGATGTAAGTAGATGAATTACTTAGTAAACAGAAAGATTGAGCGAAGAAATATTTACTTTTCAATTAGATCCTCTTCTCTGGCTCTACTCTAATATATATATATATATATATATATATATAGCATTTTTACAATACACAACAGTTTACCAAACAAGTGTGGATATGTTTGTTAACAATAATTAAACAGTGTCAAAATGTCAATGGGTTGATAATTAACGCAGAAAATCAATACACATTTAAAAAGTAGAAATGGATAGAATAAATAAATTTTACAAGAATAACACGTAATTAAAGATGAAGTGGTAAAAATAAAATAATTTGAACAATTATAATTTAATAGGGGGAGGGGGGCGATGTAGTCCTGTCTTGTAACGATGGCCACGGTAGGGAAAGTGGCTGTACAAATTTCTTCTGTACACATAGGCTTGGTTTCTTCTGGTGGATTCCAATTGCTTCTGCTGTCTGTAGAAGACGAACTCTTAGAGCAAAGTTGAGATTAGTTGGAATGCGATAAATAATTTTAAATGCGGTATTCACATCAACCTTGTGCTCAATATCAACAAGGTGTGCTAAAATAGAACTACGAATAGATCTTGTTTGTCCCTTGCTTAACCATGTTGGATGATGTTCGGAAATACGACGATGAAACTGCCTAATTGAGGATCTAATTGAAAAGTAAATACTTCTTCGCTCAATCTTTCTGCTTTCTTTCTTCATCAAAATCCACCAAGGGAACCAAATGTATGAAATATTTCATTTGAATTTATCCCATGTTCTGACTGACCGCATACATCATCTAAGTGATAACGAAAATTAATTGACGATCATTATTCTACGCTGCACTTGTTCCACAATACACATTCTGATATTTCATACAGCCACTTCTCTTTTAATTAGTTTGTATAAAGAAAGAACGAAGATATTTGCAAACAAGATAATACGAGCTTGTTTTAGTTCGTGGATTCTCTTCAACTGCGTACATCCTAAACAACACCAATTATAATATGTTGCGAGATTGCTGACTGAACATACTTTTTTCACAATGATTTCAAGTGTTATAGATATAAAGAATAAGCAACATAATTTCTCAGATGATGTAAGTAGATTAGTTATTTAGTGTTAAAAGAGTAACGGTTTATATGGTGATTAGACGGGGGTGGGACTACAGTTAGGATTTTGCTCGGAATTGACAGGATTGACTAGAGACGAAATACAATAGAGAACAACAGAGTTAATTTACACATATTATGGTGCGGAATTAAGGAGGGCGGGGGTGGACAGTGAAGCAGAAATATAGGATAGACAATATCATTCAGTAGATTCTGAAGCCTAATAGTGAGTTCAACTCAGTGAGTGAAAATCGAAGTCAAGATTGAGACAAAAGCACAAGAAACAAAACAATCAGGGTTACCAGAATAATGAGAGATTAGTCACACTGTCTTCCTGTATGCATAGGATGGGTCGAAGTATTTGGCTAGCGGTGGTTTTCTTTGTTTATTGATTATTTTGAAAGCCTGACTAATTTTCACTTTATGCTTCGTGTCAAATAGGTATCTGGCGATTGCGCTTGGGAACACTTTGCTGCCTGCCTTTCAAACGGAGACTTTTAGGGATATGCTCGGAGAATCTAGTAGACGCTGTCCTCTCAGTCCTTCCTATGTATTTGCTGCCGCATATGCAGTTGGAGTCGGCATGAACAGGATACTTATATACTTTTGACTGGGTTAACGAACATCCTGTGTTGTAAATTGGGATGAGTCTAGAGACGGAAAATATTCTTTTCAATGAACCTTTAATTCTGTTTCCCGTTCTTATGAATATTTCTTTGCCTTAGTACGCTAGACAGATAAAAACTGGTTTCTTTTACTTCACTATTCACCCCGCCACTAACCCTTCGGGATTGTCAACCATAATATGTATAAATTAACTCTGTTGTTCTACCTTGTATTTCCTCTCGAGTTCATCTTTGTTTCTAAGAGAAATCTGAACTCTACGCGATGTCTAGTCACTATTAGAATACTCACATCCTAGTATGGAAATCATCGGCAGTACACACCCACTGAGGTCCGAACCCATGACCTTGAGGTTACAAGACAAGCTGGTACCATTCAGCCACTGGGACCACATTCAATAGTCCATGAATTCTAACTTCTACCAATTCGTGGTGCATTTGGCGTGACCATCAGCCGATGTCATCGGCGGGAAATCCATCCTCACACTTGACTTGGTGGATCTCACTCGTCACGACTTCGCATTAGAACTCGAAGACGCTCAGCCCTGTAGCAAGTTACTAGAAAGCTTCAGAAAAATTTTCAAGAGTTGGTTTCTAAGGATTACACTTTCAATCCATAAAGCTTGAAATCATTGTAAAAAGTATGTTTAGACACCATTTTGCAACATTTAATTGATTTATTCGCGATGTGGGCAGCAGTTGACTAGGATCCACGAAATAAGACAAGCTCGTATTATCCTTTAAATACGTTAGTTCTTTCTTCATTCAAACTTTCTGATATATAATTCTAATTTGCCTTGAGTGTCTATCGTTTGTAAAAATCAATAGATTTATTATTGTATCCAAGTTAAAGAAGAATCTATTAACAGCACGATTGTTTACTCTCATTATTTTTATATTAACTGACTGTTTTTTAACTTTTATTCCCATTTAAAAGGTGTACGTTTTACTGATATAAAAAAAGAAAGAGAAATGGTCAAATGGGAGCATATGAAAGCGATGGACTACTTAAGAGAACCTTCAACAAAAGCTACTGGGAAACGAGGTGTAGCTGAATCACGAGCTGTAGTATTTCGTGGTGGTGGTGGTGTTGGTCCTGGTCAGGGACCAGTTATGGATTTGAAAAGTGAAATGTCCAGTGTTACAGAGGTAAGAATAACTTCGTAGAAATAAAGATGTTGTCATCGCTTTTATTCACCTAAGGAGTTAAACACTGTGCAGAATGTTTGGTATCTTAGCAAGAGGCAGACAGAAATTCCAGTATTCAAATATGAAAGATTTTGAAGGCAAACTGTAAATCTGAACATCCAAGTTAGCTTCTATTCTGTCCACAGAAATACTGTACTTTCAAAATAATTTATAGCTAACAACGATCACATTATAATTTTTCCCTTCAGTTCTGAGTGGAAAATGGGGTTTTACCAGTACGTCTCCATTTTGTCCTATCCTCTATAGTACTCTTCAACTGGCTCCAGGGCTTCTCATAGTCTCTCATATCCTCCTCGCACAATCTCCTCTATGTCACCTTCGGCCCCATACCCATCTCTCCGTTTCCCATTCGGAATCAACTTGAGCGGTGACCTGGAGCGCCACGTCATTTGACGGTGTCCTCAGTATGTATGCCATCTATCACCATTTTCTTCGTCATATTCGTTGAGCAGTAGGTTCTTTATTAGTTCATCCTCAGAGTTTCTTTCTGGTTATTTGATCTTCAGTATGGAGCTAGCTAAGACAGCTTCTGATAAAAGACTGTAGTAGCCTTTTGGAAATGCTTTTCGTGATGCACAGCCCATGTTTCTGTCCCCATAAAGAAAAACTGACTGACTTAACAATAGTGTTTATTTCAGAATTTCAATTTTTGTGCTGATTGCAAAAGATTTCCAAACATGTTTTAGAGTGTTAAAGATTTGTTTTATCTTTCGGATTCTGGTTTTGACATCTTCATCCTTGGCCGCGACTGAAGCTGAACTGATGCTTCCTAGATAGATGAAGGGAACATAATAGCTGTAGTTTTATTTCTACTGCAGAACACTACAATCCAGAGGTTAGTGATGTCAACACTGTCCTTTTCAACAAATCGCTGTCAACAAAAATCTGAATTCGGAGTTTAAGGTCGAGATTCAACTCAGTCTTTCCAAATCACCGACTGCTTCAATAAAGATTAAAAAGGTCTGTAACATACTACTCATAAAACATGAGTAGCTGGCTAGAATAGATAGGAACAGTCGTATGTTGTTTATTAATTTGAAAATTCTCATTCAGTCATAGAAAAGAAAAGGCGTTCAGCAAAGAGTTACTCTTTTCGGCGATATCATTCTCAAGCTGTACAAACCGCAAATTTATAGTAATTTTTCTTGGCAACAAAAGGAATATTTCCAAAGATGTGTTAATGCAATTGTTAATTTTTGACAACAAATTACGTAATTTAGAAGGCGTTAATCGGTTAGAAACTAAAATAAAGTCACAAAAGTAGGTTGGGTGACGTAATCTAATTGATAGGGTTCAATGAAAAATGAATGAGAGTTAAGTTAATAAGCTGAGTAGAATTCACTTAGAAATAAACGAAATTGGAGTTAGCAACAGTCGTCATGAGGGTAGAGATTTAATAGAGGGTAGGGGTAGAAAATAATGCAGTTAAGAAAAAGACAAACAAAGAAGAAAGAGGTAAGACAAAATTACGTATTTGGTGTTGAGATAGATCAGGACCATTGTAGATTTAGTGACTGAACAAACTTCTTTTGTATGCAGAGTTCAGGATTCAATATGTGAATTGCCATTGCTTCTGCAGTTTGAAGAAGTTTAATTCGTACTCTTTTGGCAAGATTCCCACGTATTGTGTAGACAACTGAGAAGTTGTTTTGTGGGTTTGCTTGGTGTCCGGATTCGATCAAGTATTCTAGGGTAGAGCTGTGGCGGGGGGATCTTCTTTCTCCTTTATAAAACCATGAAGGTAAGTGTTCGCTGATTCGTTTGGATAGCAAACGCTGGTTACGGCCGACATACCTAGCTCCACATGAGCAGGTGAATTGGTGGATGCACATTGATGAGGCCCCCAGTGGAAGCTTATCTTTCACGTTCGTGCGAATCATTGGTTTCGTGGAGAAAGTTAGTCTGAGTTCAGCTGCGAAGAAGGTTTTCTTCAGTGAACGGCACAGGCGGTTTCTCAGTATTTCTGTTGCAGAATCTCCGTTGAATTTTAGATTCAAATAAAGAAGTTTCTTGGGAGCAGTAAGCATCGACGGTTTTTGTGTTTTGGGCTTCATAGCTTTTGTGATGAAACGTTTGTTTACACGACTTATATTTGTATAGCTTAATTTGAAGGCAAAATCAACATCAGCTACAAAATAAATTCCATTAACTGTCAAGGAAACATTATAATGACCAGATTAGATATGTAACTCTATTTCCTCTCATTCTGCACTGTTGTATTAATGGAACTGTGTAGGTAGTTGCTACTTTCTAGCTGCCCAAGTTTTGGAAGTTGATTTCATTATTGGAGTACCTAAAATATTAGTTTTATGTGGCTGAAACAGAACAAGGAACAGATTCTTCAGGCGGTGGTATTTTTAAGTAAATATTTAGAGTTGCATACATCCAAACATTATACTGTTGACAGAGCTGACCAAAGTGTCAGTGCGTTAAGATCCACAATTTCCGAAGCCGAACTTTAGTGACTACTCCCCTCCAGATGCGGAAGACTGCATGTTTAGCTTGTTGATAACCGGACGGAGAAAGCATACTTCCATGGCATTTCTTTTCATCCAGTGCTGCTCAGATCCCCGACATAGCGTAAGTGACTTACAATATGCCTCTAACTGCCGTCCATCTTATCTTCGTGGCATAGTGGGCAATGAGGAAACACTGCTCCCAGCCAATGTAGTTAGCGACTGCAACGTCAAAGTACCAGCTATCATTCAAGTGTATAAAGTTATCAGTATAAGCTAGATGTTAAGCAGAATCATAATTATCTCCTTATTTTTATGCAAATGGACTAAAATTGGATACTTTTTCAACTTTTTGATAGCATTATTAGAAGACGGAGATTATCTGAAAAATGTGATGTATTAGCGCTATACATTTCGAACAATCTGATCACACATTTACTTGTCAAGTCAATATATATGGAAAGGTTAAATTAAACAAGGTGACAAAAAAAAAAAGAATTAAGAATAATTAACACAAACGTTTGGTAATCCAATCAAATAAGGATTACCAAGGTAGGTTAAGAGTAATAACAAACTGTTTTTGAATACACAAGGGGGGCTTAAGTTTATGAATGGCTATAGCCTCAGCGTATTTCAGTAAACGTCCTTGACCGTTTTTATAGATGACCTTAAAGGCTGAGTTAACATCAACCTTATGGTTCATATCGATTAAATGTTTAGCTATAGACGAAGTTGGTAGTCTGGCACCTGCATCTATGGGCTTGTCACAATTCATCTGTTTTCCTAACCACTTTGGGATATGCTCTCCCACCCTCACGTGCAACGCGCGATTACTCCTCCCTATGTATGTATGTCCACACACACATGAAAATTGGTAAATTGAATGGGATGTGATATAACTGGAAAATTGTGCAAACACTGAACAAAGGAATACCATGGAATCCCTAGGCGCTAGATACTCAGATGAATCAGTAGTCAAAGGACAAAGTTACAAAGATTTGTCTAATGAAATGGTAAAGAAATAGTCATATGAGTGGAAATCGCATACGTGCTCAATGAGATATTTAATGAAATTCATCAATTATGGCGAAATGCCAACAGCAAAAAAATTTAACGAATGTATACTACTTACTATTAGTTAGTAGTTCAAATTAATATACAGAAAATGGAATTACGGGCTTTTGGGAAATGGATTAACGTCACTTAATATTTAACTTTTCTTTGTTCCACTTGACATCTATTAGATATCACCAAAACTCGATTCAGTACTACTCTGCAGCAAATATTAGAGTTGTACCTAGCAGTTATAAGTTAGAACGCAAATGATAGCGTGGCTTACAAAGCTATTCTCTAACAACTATATTAGTTAAATTCTGTGAGTACACACAGTTAATCTCCCCACAGAGTTGAGTTAGGTATAAAGTCATTAGTAGCGATTAACAGAAATCAATCCGTGCATACGTCAGTAAATATGGAAATATGGAAGCTAAATACATTATATTTCATTAGCCCGCCGTATCAGAAGAATTCGTAGCAGCGACTGTTTAGAAGAGGAACTTTTGTTTCTCAAAGTTATCTCGAGTCAAAATGAATACCCAGCGTGTTTCTTGGAGAAGAACATGTAGCTAAAAACAAGCAGAGAAGAAACAACCTTATTACTAAAAAGATATTATATTTGGATCTGGACTTCAGGGGAGATTCAGCTACCAATATCTTTAAGAGGAGAATCTCCAGTTCCTGAAACAATTCCAAGGGTGATATTCTCTAGCCGCCCACTGCTTCCAAGCAGGTGGGAATAATGAACTTCTGCATATGGTCACTCGAATGGACATGAATCAACTTACCTACTCCTTCTGAGCTAGGTATATAGGTCGTTCTATATGGGTTCTGTCAAAACGTGTTAGTACAACATTACCCAGCATAGCTGCAAAGAGGAGACACTAGCTCAATCAGAAGGGCCATAACTGAACACCGCATCAACATCTGTAACAGCATCTGAACTGATTCATCATTCAGAGTCATTTACAAAGTAAACAAAAATCTACCAAGGGTAGTGTGTTCTAGACTTCTTTGTACTGCACAAGCTCCAGCTTTATGCATCGAAAATCCTGAGCGATGAGTTAAAAAAAACTATTCCAACCTTCACATTTACCTTGAATACAGTTAGGTTCGACTCCTAAGTTTTCAATTTTTCGTTCAAACTAAGGATGCTGAAGTTACAAAGCGAGTCTGTTGAAGTTTAAGTCATTGACATGGAATCAAGTGACCCAAGAATTCTGACTTCTTCCAAATCGCGATATGAAGCGCAATCGCCAAAGAATGTCATTGGCAAATATCCGTAATCATAACCAACATTTTTTGAATCCCTCCCACCAGATCTCTTTGCGAGTCAAAGGTGCCCACTACTAAAATGCCTCAATGTAGAGTGACACAACTGTCTAGTGCTAAATGGATTTCAGTGGTTCTGAGTCTAATCGCTGATTGTAACAGTAACTCATAACATTTTTCACCTGACACACCTATTAATTTAAGCATTGTTTTGAAATATACTCTTATTCTACTTTAATTATTTTCATTATTTTCAAAGGGGATTGGTATGGAGTTAGAAAAACGTTTCAAAGAAATAGACAATCAATTTCAACGATTCAATGATGTTGACTCACGACTGAATGATGTAACCCAATTACTCACTAATTTATCTGAAGTTATCAGTAATATGACAGAAACTCAACAACGAGTAAGTTGGAATTCTGTGGGAACACGTTTTTGTTTTATACCTGTTATACTACTTAAAAGTTGTGAGTAGCACTGAACCTATCCATATTTTGAGACACGATGCAGTTTAGGTGATTTCAGTCTGGCTAGCTAGCACTACAGGTTCATCTCAGTAGTATCCAACTACTCATATTAGTCAGTTAGTAGTATATATAGCCTCTTTCATTGAGAAGCTAATATTGTCACTCATTACTGCATACAGTCAATAAGCGAAGGTTAGAGGTCTGAGAGTCACTTAAATTTAATTTGCTTGCTTTATGATAGCTTATTCACCTAAAAGCTTATTAGTCTTCCAATCAAATGCTACATGGATTTCATATTCGATAAATGTATTTGATATAACACAAGGTGATACAATATTAATAATTGAACGGCGTTTTGAGCGAAATTTCCTGTTCATAACCTTTAGTTTTCATTGGTTTCCCAAGAGTAAATATGTAAATAATGAAGTTGAGGTATTTGATTATGATTGTGTAACGACAGAAGACAAGGGCCAGGTAACAGATCGTCTATTGAGGGAATCAAGAGATATTTATATAATTTTATGTACATTATTATTCGTTATTATTAACAGAGAAACAGCGTCTTCTGATTGGTCGTTTTCTCGCTGAAGATTATTCTGTCATATCTTCGTGACCGTTTCTGTGAAGGTCAGGCAATATATCTGCTAATCGTATCCACCCAGGCTAAGTTTACTTTGCTGTGATTGGTTGTTGAGTTTTTCAAGGGTAGGCTTTGTTATTGTTTTATCTCGTGACTCCGATTTGGGATGTAAACATTGACGTAAATTGGTGTCTACCAATTTTGGCTGACAGACAGCTCTCACTAAAATAGAAACATTCTATTCCGATGAGAGACAGAGAGAGCGGAGCTTGAAATGTTCACCAACTGTTTCGCGCATTAATGTCCATGTCGGTATACAGCGTCATTAAAATAAATTCATGAAATTAAAAGCCTTTGGTTAGTTTCAGCAGAAAACTTCCTGCAGTATGAAGACAACCATACAGTTAGCAGAACATAAGCAAGGTAATATAGATTTTCAATTGACCAAACAAATCTACTCTCAGTCACCTTCCATATAGCTCAAATGTCGCGTCTCTGACTACAACACTAGGTGACACATGTTCCGTTGTTCGAGGGGATATAAGTTCCTAGTTTGAGGATGTTCCTTGCTGAAAAGTTTGAATAATTATGCGACCTGTGCTCATGGTGTCCTACCTTCAACGACACAGCGATGAGTGTACAAGGAAATTTCATGTTTCCAAAGATCAATATATCGCAAGCCAGCATGGACGGAACAGCTTATCAACTTCTAGAGATTCGTCCCACTGACCCAAGAGCAAAACCCAGTACGTACATTATGTTCAAGGATTCCAGAAATCTGTTCTGAAGACACGATTGAGGAGGAGTTAGATTCATTAAGTGAAACCCTACTAGAGAATGAGTATCCCTTAGATTTATTGACAGAAACATGAAGGAAAAGCTTCTGTCATCAAAAATCACAACTGTTCCTAGGAAAACTGTCTTCATGAACCTGGAACTCAAAGTTGACATGGAAGAAGAAATTTTTAAAACCCGCCTTTCTAAATGTCTGAAAAAGACATTTCAAGCAACCACCGTATGTATCACATTCTCCGGTAGACAGTCAATCCAGTCTAACGTTAAGGATAAGATACCTCTTTTAGCCACCTCAATGTGTATTTATCAGTTTACTTGCTCGTATGGAGCAAAGTGTATCAGCCGTACTCAACGTCAAGTTCACACACGTATTCTGGAACATTGTCCAGCTTGGTTAACCAGGGGAGAAAAGAAGAATAGTAGCAGCTCCATCATCGAACACCTTGTCATATATGGACATCAAACACCTCCGCATGACTGTTTCACAGTGCTATGCAGAGTCCTTCAATGTTGTATGAAAGGACTTCGAATACTCCATCTGTACATAGCTGAATCATTGGCTATTCGCGATCTGAAACAGGACCTCTGCATTCAATAGCACCACATACATTCCCTCGCCCTACCGTGGCCAGAGTACTATTATTATTATTCTCATCACCCATATTTTATTATCACTCTACTACAGTTTATTATTAACATTGCGTTTTCATACAAATTTTATAAAAAAACACTTTATCGTCTTTCCACTAGTTCTTATCCACTCGAGACAACTATATTGATTAGTCATTTTCTTACACTTATTACGTCATGCCAACTTCTTCCCCCTTTTCTAATTGCCAATTAGTCACTACTCCTAGTATCTAATTGGTCTTATGAATTATTTATTAAATATAATTACGACTGTCAGCAGCAGCTTATGAAAATAAATCGTCGGAAAGAAAATTTCCTTCGCTGTTTACGTCTTATTTTTCTTATGACTCAATAAGTGAATATTTCGTTCATTAAAATTTAATCGTGTTTATGCGTCAAGTCATCAGTCTTCAGGAAGCCTACATGAATTGCTAATTAAACCACAGTCAATTGTTGATATCTTTTAATATTCCCATTATTAATATTAGAACAAGACATATAAGCGAACAGTATTATTGTTTTCAATTAGATCTTCTTCAGGCTTTACTCTAATTTACATAGATTTATATATAAGAAAAAATTTAACCAAAGACGGTGAGTTTGTGGATCAAATAATAATAATAATAAGCGTTAAATGATTTGAACGTCAGTAATAACGATGATTATAATGATAACAAAATAATGATAATGAGGTTTATGCAGGTGGCGATAAGAATAACGAAGGTAGTAAGATATGTATATATAGACAGGGTTGGTGATCGCGCAAATCATGAGCCGTTGATTCGGGTCCCAGTGGCTGAATAGTATACGAGCTTGCCTTGTAACCAGGAGGTCCTGGGTTCGAGCCCTGTGTTTCAGTCCTGTTTCAGTGTCTCTAACTGATATCAATCCGTGATCTACTCGTAAAACAATCTATCTCACAACAACTATAGAAAACTCAATGAATAGATAATTAGGTCAAATCTTAAAAGTTATGTAATACTAAAGTTGAAGTGGACAGATAATCAGAGTTTAAATAAATATCATAAAAGTACGAAGGAAATGGAAAATAAGAGAGGGTGGAAGGGTTTTGATTAGAATTCACCTAGGTCAAGCAAGGAGAGACAAGGTAGAACAAACTTCTTTTGTTGTATGCAAAGACACCAGGATTGTTCTCTCGAATTAATTCCCAAAGATTCGGCTATATCTAAAAGGCGGGTTCGAATTCCGTTGTTGATCTGGCGAATTTCCAAGAGGTTTTTGAACCAACTGTCGTAATTGTATTTCTCAACCAGTAGAGTACAGCCAATAGAAAAAAACTAAACATATAACAGTTATACACAGTAAAATTACACTAGGATAAAATCCAATTAATCCTGCTGAAGAAGTTGAAGATTATACACCTGGTACACGGTTTCCCTTCTACGAATGTTTCAATGTTGCTTGTGATACTTATTAACTGTTAGATAGAAACACAAGGTAGATCGTAATTCTTTTGGCGATCTAATAAATTTAGAACCATGTGTCGTTATGAAAACACAGTAATACGCTTCCATTTGTAAAGATGAGTCTACAAAATTCAAATCTTCACAATGACACTAACACTGGTGCAAGCATGTCTAACTGAGCCCAGGATGGGATAAAGCATGTGTTTAATTGGTGGATGGTGACTAGCAGTAGAATTCAGGATGCACATTTCGTCCTATTTGGGACTCGTCACTGGATGTACCTGCATTCCACAGTGAGTGATGATGTTCCCATCAATTAACTTCTAATTACTTGTCCAGACATCATCGAAGCATATGCACAAGAAGCCGACATGTCAACCTGAAACCGGGAACTTCGGTCCAATCAGTCGACGGAAAGATCTAAAATTGAATTAAATAAAGCATGTGTTTGCCTTTCCGATACTGTACACAATACCAAATGTATCTAACTGACAGCATATACTCAAGAGTACATTTCGGGCATGGAAGAATGGATAGAAAATATACTCAGAGGGTTAATCCTCTACTTAGTGTTAACCAGAAAGAACTAGATAGAGAAGAAGCTCCAGTTATATTTTAGGTGCAGAAAATAAGTGAATTAAGAACACATAGTTCAAAGAAGAGTTTCTTTTCAGTGATTCTCAAGAGCTGATTTGTAAATATTAGATTTTTTTGAGTTTGACCAGGGATTAATATCAAGAAGACAGTTGCAGCGAAGAAAATTTTCTTTTCGACGAAGTCACCACCTAGGCTGTACATTCGTGTATTTATAACAATAGAACTCTAAGAAACTCCGTCCTGTAGTTTCCTTGAATTATTTTGAGATGTCATGACCAGTGAGGTCCACCCAGGCGGGAATGGGAATGGATTTCCTGCCGATGACATTGGTTGGTGGTCGCGCTAAGACCACGAATAGGTAGAAGTTAGAATCCATGGACCATTGAATCGGGTCTCACTGGCTGAATGGTATATGTAATTACTTTTTTATGTGCGTTTCCATAGCATCAGAATAAAAATTAGTATGGAGTATTGTTGACATCATCAAAATATTCAAAAGCAATGATGAACAATCAAATTTTACCTTGAAGGAGGATGAAGATTGGTAAGTTTAGACTAAGATTGCGTAATATATGCGTGCTAGGTATACACATACATGGTGAAGTTCAACAATAGCATCCCATGAGTGAGAAAGCTCCAATGGCCTTGAACGCATGCTAGTCGTTGGCTAACAGCACCTGTCATTATCATAGCTGAAATATCAATGCTATTCACCAACTAAGGAGCAAATTTCAACCGGATCACGTTTTTAAGTACTGTTTGGACAATGTGTTAATAGCTCGTTACGGTTGGGGTTAGGGTTAGCATCAGGGTCATAATTAGGATTAGCGTTAGGCTTACGGTTAGGATAAGGGTTGTAATTAGGGTTAGGATTAAGGTTAGGGTTACGATTTGGGACAGATTTAGAGTTGATGCCATTTATTTTATATTCCTATTCTCATTTTCCTGGTAAGTAGTCGTCGATCCTCTTACTGGAAACCACAGTAATTCAACCGAGGGCTTTTCGGGAAGACTGCACAACAGGATAAGAGAGATAAACAATTCACAAAAGCAGCGCATCTGTGGTCACCTCAGTGAATACATGTACAGAAACTAGTCTAACTTAGCAACTGATACTCCTCATTATAACTGGGACGTATTTTAAAGTCATGTTAGAGAAAGATACCCTGTTCAATGTGTTTTCATGCATTTTCTTGTAAATATACGTCATTTTTCATGCTAAAACTCCTCATTTTTATGATTGGTCGGCTCAAGGACACTCGTGCTTTCGCATCCCTTGGGACGCTATTATTGAACTTTGCCACATACACAAAATAATTATACATATATATAAGCGATTATACAGCTGAGTGAATGGATTCGCTGTAAAGAGACATTTCACCGAACCAGTTGTTCTTATTTTCATGTTTGAATGGGCATTCTCATGAAGAGAAAAGAATTAAAACAGTTAGAATCACAAACAAATGAATTTTAAGTAGATTTTGGTTCCTATCTATTCAATATATCTTTACTTTCATTTTGAAAAAATATTTTATTTAGATTATTAGACAAATTAGTGAACTTCCTGCTTGTCAATGTAATGAATTCACTGATGAAGTTGTTCCAGTACAAAAATCCTCTACATCACCAACAGATTCATCAGCTGTAGAGACAAGAAAACGTACAAAACTAGAAGTGGCTATTCAGTCGGCGTTGGAAGCAGCTAAAGATGTACTGCGGCCACCGACACCACCTCCTCCACCGCCTCCTCCGCCACCTCCACCAAGGTAAATATACAAAATTTAACCTTCAGGATGTTCTTATTTTACTGTCATAATATACTAATGTAAGTGTATTTGTTAGGTTTAGTGAAATTTAATAGAATCGGTTGAAAGTTAGATATTTTCTAATCAAACTTTCTATCTGTCATCATTCAGGAAGCCAACAAGGAGAAGTGGACAAACATAAAACTTCATCACTAGATTCTGAAATCACGAATACAACAGTTCGGAGTCAAAATTCACTACAACTCCTTATGAAAACCAGAAATAATTCAGATCCTTACTCCTACAATTCGTTAACTCTCGCATTCTGCCTATTATTCTCTATTGTTCCCCCTTAGTTTTTCCCGGGCTACTGAAGAAAGACTATAACATATTACGCAGGATGTTAAAGGTTGTCAGCAGGGTAAGCAACGTGCCACTTAACCAGCTTGTTAATATTCTGGTTGACAGGCACATGGACTCATGTGAAAAATGGGCCAAATCCATTTTATCTAACTCACACCACCCTCTTCACTCACAACTCTCCCCTTGCATCTCATCAGGCAAAACCAGAAGCCTATATAGGAAACTATATGCTCGCACCAGCAAGTACAAAAACTCAACCATACCCTACTTAGCTCGTGTTCTGTGCGATAAAGAAAGCATTAGGCGTGACACCTATAATTCATTAAATAGTCAGTAGTACAACTGGATCTCGTCTTTCCAACTCATATCATTTATAGGTACAACATTTTCTTTCTTTCTTTTCCTCTTCTCTCTCTCTTTTTTCCGTTATGTGCTGCTTTGTTTCTTTCTCTCGCTTACGCCAGTAAATATGACAGCACCTACTTTTCTAACACCTTCAAACACTGTTCGGCTTTGGCTTTGCTACCGACATGCCAATATGTTGTTGTCATAATGAACTGAGATTTCCTTAATCTATGTAGAATTCTATTTATTGATAATGTACTAACTGGATGAAATACTGTAGTAAAAATGCTGAGAATTCCATTCTGTATCACAAGTACTGTTTTGGAATAAAGCAAATTATTATTATTATCATGCTAGATCATCCGCTTGATACCATAAATGGCAGTCAAGAAAGAACGCATAATCGCATGACACTATATACTACTGGCTGACTGAAATGAGTAGTTGAATAACACTCACATCAATCAGTAGTGAATGCTAGCCTTTTGGCCCATTTAGAGCAGCTAACTCCCTGAGGCAATGATCTTGGCGTAAAATGACCGTTGGGTATGTCGGTCACTTCCATGTGGGTAGTAAGGACTACTGGTTGACTTGAGTGGTTTACAACTACTCACATAGATCAACCAGTAGTATATACCACTGTTCATTAGAGTCTACCATTATGCATGTGAAAGTGACAAGGAATACTATTTCTTAGATACTGTACAATGATGGTAGTTATGATTCCCCAACGAAGTGACGATGTCTAAATGCACTCTGATTAATTAGTCATATCAGTAAAGCAGTACCCGAGAAGCATGAAGGCCGTATCATGTGAGTAACATCCGTAAGACCAGAAGTATTTACCGTCAGACTGTGGGGAGCAAGTAGAAAGGAATACGCTGGACCACCGATAAGAAAACTCTAGAAGATCTGGATTACACGGACGACTTATGTCTAATGTCACACAAATTCGAAGATACACAGGCGAAAATCAACAAACTGGCAGAAGAGCTGGACAGATAAAACAGGACTACAAGTGAACACAGAGAAGACGGTGGTGATGGAGATAATCAGGCACCAATTGATATCAACAGAAGAAATTTGAAAGAGGTCACTTCCTTCACTTATCCAGGAAGCATCGTATCAACTACAGGCGATAGTACGCATGAGGCTGTTAGGACCAGAATAAAAAAGGTTAAACAGACCTTCACCACTCTTAAATCAGTTTGAAAACCTCCTGCACTCAACATAAAAGCGAAATCTGGATTTGCAACACCAGTGTTAAGTCAGTACTTTTATATGTGTCAGAGACTTCGCCTCGCACGAAGAGAAATTCCAACAGACTGAAAAAGCTTATCAGCAACTATCTTTGCTTGCTCCTTACTGAAGATCAGATGGTCAGAGAGAACTGGCAACAAGAAACTCTTGGAACAAACCATCCAAGTACCTATTGCTCAATAAATATCCCGAAGAAAATGGAGATGGATCAGGCACAAGATGAGTAGACCATCGAATGACGTTACGCGTCAGGCCAACGATCGAATGGGACCCGAATGGGAAACGACAAGTGGGTGACATGTGAGGAGGAAATGATAGACTATGGGAAATCGTGGAACCGGATAAAGAGGACTGCAGAGAACAGAGTGGCGTGGAGATGTGCTGTTCAAGCCCAATATTCCACTCGGAACCCAAGGGGACAATAATAAATATTATATAATAATGCTGGTTAACAATTTGGGGACGTAGTTCTACTGGTGTTTGGAAGATATGCTGCAGGAGCGAAGTGTTTACATTAGGCGACTAGCATTCTCCCTATACTTCCTTCTCAATAAGGTGCCGAAAATGCTCAACTTCTACCTCCTTCACAGTTATCTATCATAAGTGATGAAGTTTTCCCTTCAGATGCAGCTTCAAGAAATTCTAACGCGTGAGTAGTTTCATGTGTAAGGCTCAAGCCAGACGTTCTGTGGTCTATTAAGTCATGGGTGATTTATCCTGTTTCTTAGGCTGAGATGTTAAAAGGAATCTATGAGTTGTATTCAAGGAACAGATATGTCGAGATGTAAGCATAAAATTTATTTTTTGCCGCTTTATTGTATAGTATATAATTCTTGAATATACTATCTTTATTTGCAGGGAATCTCCAGTTCTTTTAGCCGCTGTAGTTCCTGGATCAGAAGATGAATCAAGTGGTTCCGAAGAAGGTGGAGATCCATCAGCTGATCCTATGTTAGTACCTCAAGTGCCAGATGCAAAAACTGGTCGAGTGATAGAACGCGTTTTAGGCGATCATCGTCTATGGAGAATGGCTCCGTTCAATTTTGAAAAATATCCTGGAATGAGAATGAATGTACCTCCGGAGAGAATGGCTTGGACTGTGAGTTGCTTGTTAGCTGGGAATTTAATCTGTGTTTTACCGGTTATTAGTGAAATTATGTCATTCATATAGAATTCTATTCAACTATTACATCTGTGAGACTCACGCAAAATCTTCTGAAATGCGTTCATTATAAAATTCGTTTAAATAATTCAGATAAAATTACTTGACATTTTCTAAACATTTAAATAAGAGTTATCAAATCGATTTAAAAGGAGAAACCCTACATAAAAAAGTGTAAATATAACGTTAGATAGCTTGTTAGATTACAGTTAAACTGACAAATTGTAGTACGATTTTCAGCCACCCTTAGACTGATAGATATAAACTGATTTAACTAGCGAGGCTTGTCCTTTATAACAAATTGTAAAGCTCAGTTTTGATCAATCTGATGCTCCCTATTCACTAGATAATCTGAAACACAACTCTCGGTAACCACTACAATATCCTTCCGCTACAATATAGGGAAGTGGGCTTTCCAAGTCACCCCACTTATCTATTACTTATTGCTATTATTATTCCCTTGGGTTCCGAGTTGAACAAAGGGCTTCAACAGCACATCTCCGTTTTGTTCAGCTGCTTGCAGTCCTCTTCATATGGCCCCATGATTACTCATAAGCTTCCATCTCACACGATCTCCTTCACGTCAACCTCGAAAGCCTAACTTGTTTCTCATCTGGGTTCCACTCTATGGCCTGGTGCGCGATGTCTTTCGACGGTCTCCTCAGAATGTTTCCAATCTATCTCCATTCTCTTTAGAATACTCTTGGTTAGATTATTCTGAGAGTTTCTTGGTGCCGATTCTTTCTTGCAAGTCGTCTGATCCTCAATATGGAACCAGGGAAGGAAGCTATTGATAAACGTCTTTAGTAGCCTGTTGGGAGTGGTTTTCGTGACGCGCATGCCAGTTTTCTGATACATACAAGAACTCACCTAATATTGATGTTGAAAATCTGAATTTTGTTCTTTATGTCACAGAGTGCAGAAGAATTCCACACTGATTTTAGAGTTATGAAAGTCCACCTTGCCTTCCCAATACTGGATTTGACATCTTTATCCGTCCCACCGCCTGTAGTGGAAACGATGCTGCCTGGATAGTTGGAAGAAGTAATCTCTTCCGAATTTCCCCCTCTTGAAAGTGATTGGTTTTCGTTGTTGTTGGATGATAATATCCAACACCTCCATCTTCTCTATGTTCGTTTGGAGTCCTGGCTTTGCTGCTCACTTCTTCAGCCAGTTTGTTAGTTTTCACCGGCGAGTTTTAGAATTTATATAACATTAGACATAAATCGTCCGTGAAATCCAGATCCTCTAGAGACTTCTTATCTCTCCAACTTATCTCACACATATAACGGACAGCAAAAGGCCGCTTGCTTATCCTGTCTTCCACATACATATAGACACAACTTCTTCATCTACCTATAAGGACTTACTTCTTATATTATACAAGAAACCACCTGCATATTTTTATTTCCAGTTAATTCATATACCTGTATTGCACTTGATAAAAGGGTCAAAAACATCGGCCTGAAGAGGACCAGTCAGAATTTAGTCCGTGTTAATGTTGCTTACTATTTACATTGAGAGACAGCCAACTAGGTTTATCCACTTTTAAATGCCTACCAACATGGGTCAGAGTTATGCAATATTCTATTACACATACACTTTCCTGCTCATCTAAGTGCATATTCTCCACTAGTTAGTTGACTGGATAGAACAACGCTGAATTATAAAACGTTGGTGACAGATAGTTGATTTACATGCATACGTCTGGCTGTAAGAATTGGGACAGATATTGTTAAGCTATCAAGGTAGTAAATTAAGAAACAAATGAGTATCAAATATCAAGACTGAACAGTTTTCATGCAAAGCTCCATGGAGAACTCTTGAAAATAAACAATTGCTGGAACTGTTTTATTTGATTATTATGAAAATTAATAGCATATGATCTGATCTGTACATGACATTCTATATAACTGCCTAGGCCCAACCGTTTGTCGAAATCTATTGATGAAGTATAAAATATGATAGAGAAGATTTGTAGCTCAGATGGATGATTTTGATATGGTTGTGTTCTCTGAGCTGGATAGTTAATTTCCAAAGCTTTCATCGCCCTACTAGGCGACATCTTCAGAGCATACTTCAATTTGAAGTGAGCTTTTAGATTTCTCCACGAGTTTATTAATCATCTCTCCTGGTGACCTTGGATGTGATTGGTTGTTTTTGTGTGTTATCACACCTTCGAAGTTACTTGTATTGTCACTCATTGTTTCTTTGACTTGAACTTTGACCCTTTGTGTGTTAGGTTTCTTTCGTATCGGTTGATAAATTTTGTCTATCTCGATGTATCTATTGATTGATGATTCACTGGAATGCCAAGCTTCTAAAAATTCTCTAGCATTCTTGTTATTTCCTCTATCTAATATTTGAACGTTGTCCCAGTCGAATTGATTTCCGTGATTGTCTGTATGCAGTGATATGAGGGAGTGGATATCATGTCTTTTGACAGCTAGCTTATGATGGTGGATACGAAGACGAAGGGGACGTCCACTTTGGCCAATGTAGTGTTTTTCGCAGTTTATACAATTTGTTTTGTAGATGATGTCGGTTTTATCTTCTTTCACTATTGAGTCTTTTGGTTGACTTAGAATTGAGTGAAGTGACTTTGTTGGTTCGTGTACGACGTCAATTCCTAAAGGTTTGAAGAGTCTTGTAGTGATTTCTGAGATGCCCTTTATATATGGTAAGGTGATTTTCTTTGTGCTTTCCTTGGGGCTTTTGGTTTGATAGGTTGGCTTGGGGGTATATACCCTATATCAAAAAGAAGTATGGAATATAATCTATTGTAACTTAAGATATCATTTTTCGATAAAAGGATCTTATGTAAATTCGTAGTTTAGAGGGTTTGATGCCTAACTTTCCTTTAATTTATATATCTTATTGACGAATGCCTAGGAATATGGAACATTTTCAACTCAGAGAGTTTTTTACGCTGACTCATATTTAATGATGTCAAAGTTTTACTGATCATAATATCTGATATACATGTTGTACTTTAGTGACAACTTGGTTTCCTTGAAATTGACATCTTCATAGGATGAAGTGTTAGTAAATGTACACTGCCGAAGTGAGGAACTTCACTAACCAACTTAAGCTTATTAGATGATACTGCTTTCAACAAAACACATATAGTAATAGCTTACTTTTGAAACCATCAATAGTAAACATCAGTCGAGTGGAAGTTGAAATTCTAAAACAAACATTTAAGACAAACTTCTAACAAATTCGTTAAACTGAGTCATGTTAAATAAACATTTCTAAGTAGGATGTTTAAGGCATTCTTGACTTGCTCAGTAAGCCGACCTCTACAAGCAGCCAGTGAAAATATCAACTGAATAACAAAAAAGTACTGGACAGCTGTTTTCTCTTAGTTCTGCGTTCTTCAGTAGTGATCTATAGGGACTGAGTCTAGGGTTTTCACGTTGCTGGCAGAGTACACTGATTATTCAGTCAGTAAGTTGGAGTCTTCACACAAAAAATCGGAGGATCTGGACTTCGCCGATGATATATGTCTGATTTCCCACAAACTTGAAGATAAGCAAGCGAAAAGCAACAAGTTGGCGATAGAAGAAGCATCAAAGATAGGACTTCAGATGAACATAGAGAAAACAGGGGTGATGAAGATTCCTGGACAAGAACAACAACAACAAACAACGATCAGCATAAATGGGATGAACCTGAAAGAAACCACCTTCTATACCTACCTGGGAAGCATCGTCTCAACTACAGGCGAAACTGACGAGGATATTAAAGCAAGGATCGGAAAAGCAAGACAAGCTTTCACTGCTCTCAAATCTGTGTGGAGGTCAACAGGACTCAGCATCAAAAATAACATCCGGATTTTCAACTCCAATGTGAAGTCAGTGCTACTATACAGTTGGATCAGAGTCTTGCGCTGCGCGTCATAAAGAGCATCTCAAACAAACTACAGACCTTCATTAACAGTTGTCTTCGCTCAATACCGCTCAAGATCAGATGGCCGGCCAGAAAAGATCAGCAAGAGGGATCTCTGGGAGCGAACCAACCAGGAACCAATTGTAAAACAAATAAGCAGGAAGAAATGGAGATGGATTGGCCATACTCTGAGGAAACAATGCATCAAGTGACATCACTAGACAAGCCATTGCTCGAGTGGAATCCGAAAGGGAAGCGGCGAGTTGGTCGTCAGTGCGAGGGTGGGTGACTTGGAGGAGGTGATGTGAAGAGGAGATGAAAACGTGTGGGCAGACTTGGAGCCAGGTGAAGATTCTAGCGGAGAACCGAACGCAATGGAGACGCACGACTGAAGCCCTTTGCTCCTCTAGGAATTAAAGGAAACAATAATAATAATAAGTTGGAGCCCTATGGGTAAGTAGCTAAAAGGAATTAATTTTTGACCATGGTGAGTTCACAGGTGTACACAACTAAAGAATCCCAAACTAGGACGAAACACTTACTGAGTATTCCCTGGTTTTCAATGGTTCTCTAAATGATGTCAGTTTTTGACTCAATTATTCAGATCCCTACAAACCAAAATATTACCATATAACAAAGTTTCATTTTCAAATCAAATACGATAGTCATTTTGTTTTAACTTTGTTCAATAATTTATTTGATTTGATTCTGTATAGGCTGAATATCCAGATTATTTCGCATATGATGCATGTGAAGAGGTATTGCTATTCCCATCGGAAGATGCACACGATGGAGAGAAGTAAGACAAACTAGTTTAACTTATAGCTTAGTTGTTGCATGTTGTCAATGGTTTATAATCAATTCCTTATACTCTCTTCTTCTGTTAACTGTTTTAAGCCTTGCTTTACCTTTTCTTGTATGGACGTGCATAGACAGTATTAAACATTTTTAATGCTATAATGTATATTACTAACAATCAACCTAGTTGAAAGAATTTTTTAAAATGCTCTGGCATGCCCAATAATGCATGTTTGCCATTGTCACTCTATATCTAATTCTGATTATTAATCATTAATGTAACGAGTGATGACTTAAGGAGAGATGAAGATCCAGCTTACGGCATGGTACGGACTGGTCCGGTACTCTACCAGCTGGGTCCCAGCTAGTGAGTTACCCGTGATGACTTCATGGAAATGGTAAGCTGGTTATCAGAAAGGTCTGGCAGATCGGTTAGTAGAGCACCGAACTGGTGTTTGCAGGCCGATGGTTCGAATTTATCCTCCGAAAGATGACTGAAATTGGGTTGAAAATCTCCGATGTAACTTATTAGCAGAAATTTAATCGGGATTTTGTTATGGATCATGGGTACACACTGTTGGAAAGTCTCAAACTAGGACGAAATGGTTAGCCAGTTATCTTAAATTTTCAAAGGTTTTGTGAATGAGTTAGACTTGTGACTAAATCTACCTAGAAAATAATTCAATTCTAGAAAAGCAATACTTCAAAGTTCTTAAATTTTGTGTCAAGTATTCTGTGTCGTGTTTCAGTGACATCTGGTAGAGTAATAATCTTCCCTTGAGTTCCGAGTGGAAGATAGGACGTCAGTGAAACCTCTCCATTTCACTGTAATCTCTGCAGTCCTCTCTGGCTAGCTCATCATCTCCTCCACATCACCCTGAGACACCTAGCCCGTTGTTTCCTACTCGGTTGCCACCTTAGGATGTGTCGCGCGATGTCAGTCAACCGTTTCCTCAGTGTACGTCCAATTCATCTCTATTTCCATGTGAATATTTGTAAGGCGTTAGTTTCTTGGTTGGTACCTTGCTAGAGTTTCTTTATTCGTTATCCTTTCTGACCATCTGATGTTCAGTATGAAGTGAAGTAGGAAGCTGTTGATGATATCTGTCTCTGTCTGTCTGGATTCAACATAGAACTTGGCACCGAAGTGCAACAGTTCGAGTTGCCACGTTCCAAAGAGCACAGAAAGGTAGACAAGAAAATGAGTGAAGAGAATCAATAGAGTTTTGACAAGTATAACAGTGAAACAGAATGAGTAATGGTAGAAAGGAATATGAAAGATTACAGAGACTGAATACATCTACGTAAGCCATTGACAACGATTTTGAGCCATGTCACCTATTGTCTCCAGCCATTGATTCTTAGAGTCCCGAGGGCCCCAACCAGGAAGTCTGCATCTCCCTACCTGACTCAGTTTAACTGTCAGGGATTTCATGGATTGATGCCATGTTTTTGTTTGGCCACCATTTACTCTTTTCCAACCTGCACCTATATCAGCTAGTAATGCCCGCCGGGAGGGGAAGGCGATGGTTAGGCATGCGCAGCGTGTGACCTAACCATCTCAATCTATGTAACTTCATAGCCTCTTCGATTGATTTTCCCTCTTCACCCAACACTCTACGCCTAACTTCAACATTACTTACCTTATTATGTCAACTAACGCGAGAAAGAGATCGTAGACATCTATGATCAAAAACAGTCAACCTTTTCATATCTTCAACTCGTATTGGCCATGTTTCAGAACCATAGAGAAGGATGGAGCGAACTGCTGAGCAGTGCAGACGTCCCTTGGTTGATAGCCGGATGTGACGCCTACGCCAGGGATGGTGTAAGTTAGCGAAAGCAGCCCGAGCTTTTTGGATCCGTGCTGAGATTTCGTCACCAATCAATCCGTTGGTGCTGATACAACTTCCCAAATAGGTGAAGTGGTCAACATGTTCTATCACTTCACTCCCTATCACGAAGCTAGGAGTTGACGTAGTCCAGTCCTGTGGCAGCATCTTACATTTTACAGAGGCGAATCGCATGCCGACCGAAAGCTGCTACCTTGACGTGGTGGTTGGGCTTGAACACCGCAATGACCCAACAAGCTATACTGGCTGAGACTTATGTCGCTTGAGGTCCTACCATGCCAGAAAGGTTGTTTGGATAGCAGTTAGACTAAAAGCAGTTACCCAACCCAATGCTATGACTCAAAATAAATCACAAAATATCATGCCGGATCGGTCGGGGCCCGGATTAACAACGACCGCGCTTCCTGCTGCCGTGTTACATAGCAGAAGTGATAAATATGCTACTGAGACACACCAAATAAAAAAGAACAAACAAAAACAGACCGTGTGTGACCGGCCTCAAGCAGTTGTCTCCTGGGCTCTGCGGTCACGCAACCAATTTCCAAGGTGTGGGCAGCCGGGAAGTAACAATTGCCCCCACAATCCGAAGTGCAGGCGAAACCTCTCTAATCCTCACTCATCTTTGTCTTCATCTTCATCTCTATTATCTTGCCTTCCTCCTACTAATGCGACTCCTCTACTTGATGGCTCCTCACTTCCTCTTCACTCTGTGTGCACAGAAAACGATGGAAGCTGTTGATGATAGTCTGCAGTAGCCTGTTGGGAAAGCTTTTAGTGACGTGTCAAGTCGCTGAATCATGTAGAGGCACAGATTTGATAGTACTTCTGCAATATAGTAGTAGATCTAAGCAGATGAATCCCTCCGTTCGTGGAAAATGTGGTTTAGAAAAGTTCCTAATATGATTACTACCTAGTTTTAGCTAACTGACTACACAAACTTGAATAACTGAACTGAATTTCTTGACGTCATAGTCAGTGAGAAAGTTAATGAAATTCCTTGAGCAGAGAGAGAGGAAGTAAACGCAGAAAAACGTCCACTCGATTCGCTAACGTCCTGAAAAAATGTGGAACTTTTCATGTTTTCAAAATATCTAATCGTAAAATCTTCCGAAATTTAGTGGCTTAATACTCCAGTGAGCAATTCATGGATATTTAAAACTACTGAAGCTTAACCGAAAAGTCCTAAATAGAACACGATTCGTGTCGAAGGTCACACTTCCAACTTCCATCTTTATAAAATTTAATCACAATACTAAAGACTGTCTAACATGATCTTGGAGTCATACATTTATATCTGTGTGATGGAGGGATGGCCCAAGATGAAGTAAATCTTAATTGTGCCAGGATTTAAACCTGCACCTGATGAGAAGTTGGCCACTTAGATTCAACACTGAGCCTTTAATCTAGTCTAGCAGCTTAATCAGTAGAATTACAAGCCAACAACATTCAGCACTGAGTGAACCGGGTTAAAATCTCAGAAGGAACATGATTTCCTTCAAGATCACGGATAAGTCTTGCTAACAAGTGCTAATAAGCACGAAACCTCGATCGAAGGTTACCTGTCGATCGCCTCCAACATGAAACTTCAAATGCTTGAAATCCCCCTCCGACTTAAGATTTCGTTTCGACTTCCATTGTACTCCTGTAACACAGAACGAGAATATTAGACGTAAGTTACTTGGCTACTTTAGTTATTTCTTGCTTGGTAGTTGCATGTCGGCTATATAAAACTAATCTAGAACGGAACTAACAAGACTGATCATGAAATGTCTACTATAACTGCTGTATAACCTACAATAGACCTATCAAACACTATGCTATATCATGTCTAAACACTGCTTGATTCCATTATATACCAAAAATGTTATGCAAAAACGGTAATGCATCACTGCATGGCTCTACTGTAGACGTAGAATGTAGACAGAAAATTGTTCCTCATATAGTCAAAACAAAACAAAACACTCTGTTGATTTCTTCTCCGCATTATTATCAACTGTGAATCGATGATCTCGGCGTTCTCCTTCTTCTGGCTCACACTGAACACCACCACCACCACCGCTCCCCCCCAAAAATATGTGCTACTCCTCGTAAAATAAATCATGATTATTCAAAAACATTTTAATGTTTATGAAGTTTCACGCATGGGAACGTGATATTTACTTTTGAACATAGTGAAAATCTACGCAGTATCAATTTCAATCAATACGATTCTAAGGCTAAACTACGCCGACAAAGTTTACTTGGCCGTTATCGATTGGATTCAACGACTGGGGCACCACTTAATCCAATGGGTAGAACAGGATTATTGGGTAAAGGATTGTTACCACGTTGGGGACCAAATCATTCATTGGTGTTATGTATTACACGATGGACTAGAGATACACGGACTGGGGCACAAGTGATTCGAAGTAATCGTGGTGTATTACAGTATTTGGCGTTGGAAAGAAATAAAAGGTTATGCATGCCATGGGTAAGTTAAACAGTTGTGTTCATTTTCCTTATTACGTAAGCAGAAATATAATCATTGTCAGCTTTCAAGTGATCATACGCATATATGTGACTTTGGCCTATCACCTCATGTGTACTCATGTGTAATACATACATAATAACTACATGGCACTGCTAAGCAGTACGCACCCACTTTACTGATGAAGAGTCCCAAAATGGGACGAAACAGATTTTTCAATGGTCCTCTAACCGATGCCATTTCATGATGAAATCCTGTAACCAATCAATCAAATCCCCAAAACTTGAATTACTCAATTACCCAAAACAAAAGTACATACCATTAGCCAATCATATTTAAGTAGGTCAAGTAGTCCGTGAAAGGCAAGTGGTTGGAGTCAATTGTTTTCTGTACACATATAGTTAGGGATGCATATGATTCCTGCAAAGTGTCCCCATTATCTTTAATAACCCTGAGTTAGAATTATGTGAAGTAATTGCTCAGCTGTCCTTAATATTGATTTTGTGACCGGGCATTTAATAATCGCTTTGCAGAAGATGATGCTGGATTTCTACTCAGGTTAAGTGTATTTGGGTTTTCTATATATTTGAATAAGGCATTTAGAAGACAAATTTCGCTAGATGATATCATTTCATAGTTTCTTTACAACCGCTTTACAACTAATATGGTTAACAATAATAAAATAAAGCTCATGACAATTACTCAGTTAAATAAAAAACACAAAAGTACATACTAATGACCAATCATATTTAGATAGGTCATGTAGTCCAGGGTAGGCGAAGACTGAAGTCTACTGATTTCTGTACACACAGTCTAGGCTGTATGTGATTAATGCAAAGTGCTTCCATCACCTTCAATAACGAACCTTGAATTAGAGTTATATGAAATAATTGTGAAACAGTCATTAATAATATTGACTTTGTGACCTGACATTAATAAGTGTTTTGCAATGGATGATGCTGGATTTCTATTAAGATTAATCGCGTTGAGATTTTCTATATGATTTATTAACCATTTCGGAACATGTTCCTTTCGACGACATTGGAACATTCTGTTGGTTCTACCTATATAGGTGTCACCACAGCTGCAGGTGAACTTGTAGATACAGTTTGAAGTAGAGTCCACAGAATTTCGTCCTTTAATCGTAGGTACAGGGATCGAAAATGTTCGACAAGTGAGAAAAAGAGATGAGGCGTAAAATGTGCGTTTGATTGCCGACCGAAGTCTTTGAGCTGTAAAATGCATAAACTGGTCACCCTTGAATGGTAGGTTAATAAATATAGCTTTCTTTGGTACAGTAGCTGTCTTTTCGAGATGTGGTCTTTCTTTACTGTGACAAGTGATAAAGTTTTCCGGATAACCATTAGCTACTAAAACTGAATGTATATGTTGAAACTCATCCATCAATGTGTCACTCGTGCATATTTTCGGGCCCTTGAGAACAAACATTCATTGTGAAGTAGAGTCCACAGAATTTCCTCCTTTAGTCGTAGGCTCAGGAACTGAAAATGTTCGAGATATAAGGAAAAAGGGTGCGACGTAGAATGTACGCTTGATAGCTAACTGAAGCCTTTGAGCTGTCAATTGTATGACTTGACCACCCTTGAATGGCAATTTAATAAAAAGATAACTTTCTTTGGTACAAAAGCTATCTTTTCAAGAGATTATAGAGATACACAATCACACCACAATGCCTCCGCCGATCGCTTGTCCCTTGAAAATTCAACTGTCCACCATTTGTTTCAATCCACTCAGATAAACAATATGATCACTGAAGCTCCAACTGATTTGATCAACACAGCATCTCTGATCCCCAACAGTACTACCTACCTGAATAAATAACAAAGGTAGAGCTTCAGTATCTTTGTGCAATGTTATGAAACAAATCAGAAAAAGGAGGCTCACATATTGATGACATCTTCACTTTTATTTTTGTTTTTCAGTATCTAACAGATCATACGAACCGGTGTGACTTCGATGAATGTGTACCGAAACTTATCAGCACTTTGATAACCAGACGAGCACGTGCTATGCTTCCTGAAAGAAGAGTTGACAAATTATTGAAACGAATTGAAAAGGCTGAAGTTACACAGGTATGGTTTTTTAAAGTCAAATATATGAATAGTGATTCGGTGGCACAGCGGTTCGGGGTTCGATCCATGGCCGGTGCACTTCTTTACCTTGCTAAGCCAGTAATAAGACTGGTAAAGAGGGAAGGTTGGGCGTATGAGGCTGGAAACCCCTTCCCGTAAAAAGAAACACCACTATTACCGAAACTTCAAGCCTCTAGCTTGAAGCCCTATGTTCCACTGGGAACGTAAAGGAATGGAAAAAAGTCTAATGGGATTGCATTTTGTGTTGATGATTGTATCATAAATTCTAAGATTTTTTATTTCCTCTTATTTATATTTTTGAAAGTTTTGAAGTATACAGATTTAAGATTGTGATCAGTCATACTATGCCTGTCATTTATGCGATGACTAGAAATAGTTCAGTTTCCTATGAACCATTTTGAATTCTAATTGCTGCAATGATAAATATTGAGATTATTTAGTTGATGGTGTCTAGCAATGGGATCCACGACACACATTTCGCCATACTTGGGACTAGTCAGTTGGATCTGCCCAAACCTCACCAGGACTCAAGCTTAGTGCCTTTTTTAATAAGAGGAAGAACTATCCAGTAGACCACTAAGTCACTAGAGCCCTCTTCTGTCCAGAGGATATCTGCTGTTACCGAATAAAAGGATGTCAGTCTTAAGATGTTGTTGCAGCGTTCGTACTTAGATTTATCATCTCAGCAAATAAACATCGTGAACTTAAAAATTGGTTTGAACTCTATAATGAATCAAGGTGCACTAGAGAAGAGATAAAAACTGTAAGATATCATGCAGCTGCTTTTAAACGTAGCTTCGAAATACTCAGTTCTGTGCATCTATGACACTTATTACAGAACCATCAGGCTTTGGGAAAACTCAGTTATCGTTCGGTAAGTAGAATGAAACTCAGTAGAGTACAACTTTTAGATAATGGCATTTTGAAATAGTCAGTGTTTTGCTTGCCGCTGTCACAGATATTCACCTGTTCATTCTAAGTTTAAGATCATATTTCGAAAAAATAAATTCCAAGTTTCCGCGTTCATCTTAAAAATAGGCAGGAGATAGACAGACAAATACTCGTAAGGTGTATCCTTATGAAAATTCTGATGGATTTGAAGACTCCCTTACCTAACCACCATGGACAGTGCTCCATCATAATGATATAATAATAAAAGTTGTGCACTGTAGTAATGTAGAATTCCATTGTGGGTAAAATTTATTTATTAATCTTATCTGTTATCTGTAAAGGCAGGCTTACTTAAATGTCTAACAAACAGAGCATTAGCACTATGTAGCACAAGAAAAGACCTAATTGATGAAATAAAACAGAGAGAAGAAGCGTTGGAATCAAATAACTACCCTGTAAAATCCATTAGGAAGATCAGAAAAGGCCAAAAGCGAAATAAAAATAATGGTGAAACTAGTAATGATAACATAAATAAGAGAGAATATAAGGCATCTACAGTAGTTTTACCATATAAGGAGGGAACATCTGAGACCCTACGTAGGATTCTAAATAAAGTAGGAATTAGAGTGGTGGCATTTAAACCTACAAACTCACTCAGGTAGGACAAGCTCTGTAGGTTAAAGGACCCTGCAGGTTGACCCAATCAGACAAAATAATATAATTTACAAAATACTTTGCAATGACTGTGAGTTAAGTCAACTACATAGGTGAGTCAGACCAGTAGATCGGGGGTAGTCAGATTGTCGGAACATAAGAATTTAGCTAAGGTAAGAATGGTTGACCCCGCGAAGATAAGTAATTTAGAAAAAAGCTCAGCGACTGCACTGCATGCATTAACACACAACCACACAACAGAGTGGGTGGGAGAGGGTTAAAATTTTAAGAATTAGTATAGGTAAGTGAAGAGAGAGAGTTGATTACTGAATCTCTGTTCATAGAATCTACACCCAACACGTGTAATAGGAATGACTCGTAACCATTACCAGAAATATGGAAATTATTACTACCAGTCACATGAAGAGATGAAAAACAGTGGAGCCATATAAACCAAATTAGAAAGTTGTGTGAGTTGTGCGTTGACATGATGATGAGCAGTAATAAATTGTGCTCGAAACGTTTTCATCAATAAATATTACTATATAACACTGTGAGATTTTATCAAAATAAATTTGACCCACAATGGAATCTTTATATTCTCTGAACAGACTTTATCTAACATCTGTGATTATATTCAGATCGCTTTATTCACGATACCTTCGTGTAACGAATGAAGCTGCAGATCGTTTTACTGATAAAATGGCCCCGGAATCCGATATTTTTCCCAGCCTTTTGAAAAACAGCTTGTTTGTAGAACTTAGACTATTTATTTACTTTTCTACTTGGTCTTTTAGATTTTCAAAGGTTATCTTGACGACCAGTTGAATGCTGATAGTGCATGGATGGAGACAGTTGTAATCAATCTGCATGAATCTGAAAGTAAAGGTGCTCAACTTCCAGACGATATACTTAAGGTAATTTCATGATATTTTTAAATTTGAATAACGTTCTACAGTTATTGCATAATACTATTCTCATATAACCTTTATTACACTTGGTAGTTGCTCTAAGGAACTCCTTACCTAGTCGATTCGCAAGCCTACTGTTCTAACCAATATTATACAGAGACGGCGATGCAAGAAAGCGAGAAAAGAAGACAGACCACTGACGTTGAGAGCTTTTACTGTCTCGTATCAACGGTTGGTTAATATATATGCTCTATATGACCTCGAGCGACACTAATTACACGGATCAATTAAAATAGTCGACAACCAATAGGATTCCAATATCATAATTGTGGTGATGGAAATATAACCAGCAATGTAAAGATACATGTACTTTTTTTAGGGAAACTAGGTCCATATAACAGATTAAATAGTTTGTTTTAACTAGGATTTATAAAGTTGTGTAGAGGAGACAGGAGTACGCCGAACCACCGATGAGAAGACTCTAGAAGATTTGGATTTCGCAGATGATATATGTCTAATGTCACACAAACTCTAAGACTTACAGCAGAAAACCAACAAACTGTCTGAAAAAGCAGCCAGTGAAGGCAGGAATCCAGGGGAACATAGAGAAGACAGAGGTAATGAAGATAACCAACCCACAGCAATAACAACAACCAGCACCAATCACCATCAACGGGAGAGATTTAACAGAGGTTACTTCCTTCACTTATCTAGGAAGCATCGTTTCAGCTACATGCAGTCGGAACGGATGAAGATATCAAAGCAAGTCAGAATCGGAAAGGCAAGATACCCCTTCATCAACCTGAAACCAATTTGGAAACCTTCTACACACAACATAAGGAACAAGATTTGGATTTTCAACACCAGTGTGAAGTCGGTCCTTCTATACGGGTTAGAAAAGTGGCCAGTATGTCACGAAATGCATTTCCAACAGGTTGCAGACTTTCATCAATAGCTGCTACCTTCGCTGGCTGCATACTGAGGAACAAATGGCCAGAAAGAATAAGTAACAAGAAACTGTGGGAACAAACCAACCAAGAGCCGATCGTTCAACAAATGTTTAAGAGAAAATGGAGATGGATCGAGCATACATTGAGGAGACCATCGAGTGACATCGCGCGCCAGGCCATAGCTCTAATGGAATCCGAATGGGAAGCGACGAGTGGGTCGTCCTAGAGTGACATAGAGGAGATCGTGTGAGGAGGAGATGAGGGATTATGAGCAACCGTGATCCAAGCTGAAGAGGACGGCAGAAGATAGGACAAAGTCGAGATGTGTTTTTAAAGCCCTATGTTCCACACGGAATAATAATAAAGTTGTGTTGTTATTTGAACACAGTTACCCGAGCTGGATCTTTTTGAGTACCGAGTTATGAGGCACACATAATATGTGAGGGCTTTTGATACTATCTACTTGTGTGAGCTGAAGTAAACTAAATGTGATTAGGACTCATAATTCTATTATTTGGCTAATGATGGCGTTTCATTCTATTTGGGAATGGTCACTTGAGCTGATGCTCACGCTTTATATAGGGTAAATGGAAAGGAGTTAGTATTTTCAAGTCTTTTATCCCATTGATAAAGAGTCCCAAATAAAGATGTAACGGCTATCGACTTCTCTAAATGGTGCTTATTCATGATCTAACTGCACTATTCTACTTATGTTTCCATATAAAAAAAAACATTGTCTTTATGTCTTCGTTTTTTTTTCTTTTTGTTTTTAATTTTGTCTCATAGTTACTCAATGAACCTGGTACAGAGGAACAAGTTAAATGGGTTGAAGTATCACATAGCAGTAATCTACGCACAAGTCATAATTATATACTGAAAAATGTTGCAGAACTTCGAAGAGCCTTTTATTAAGTCTAATTAACTAACTAACTAACTAACTCACTTACTCACTCAGATGAATAACATTTGTTAAAACAATGTTTCCTTATCTACATTTCTGCATGTCACTGAAGTAAGAGAGAGACAGTGCTGCAATATATTTCCTTGGATTAATTGTATATTGGCCTAAAACTGATAATAAAATATAGACAAATACAGATCGAATTGTACCAACAAAATAAAGAATATCAGAACAGACACACTAGTACTTGTGATTCTTCCTTTCTCTATTCACTTTACAATTTTTGATCAGAAAATGGGCAGTTAGTTGGTTAGTTAGTTGATTAGTTACATCGTCGACAGTAACGACGACGACTTTTGTTATCGTTGCTGTTGTGCGCTGTTTCGCGTTTCTTCCTTCCTTTCCTTCTTTCTTTCTTTCTTTCTTTCAACTTGTGTGTATTCAAACCAAATTCTCTTCACGTTATTGTCCTTCTCTTCTCCTTATTATTATTATAATTATTATGTCTCACATTGAAGCACTACAATGAAATTGATCATTGAACAGAAATGAGACAATGAATCCTCTAAAGAGAAAAAAAGTATATCAAACATCAAAACTTAGGAATTTCAAATGTAACCAAGAAAGCAAAGACACTATTTCAATGTACCAGAATACTGTAGAGATAAAAACAAAAATCCACAAGAATATACAAGAGTCAAGTCTTACAGAATACTTCAGAATTATTCATATTACTATTATTATTATTATTACTACTATCACTATTATGCAATAAAGAATTTTAATGCGACTCTGGTGTTTTGTTTAATATTTATTTCCAATGAGTTAGTTTGTAGGGATTCTGGTAGGTTTGTAACACTAGAAGACAAGGGCCAGACAACAGATCGTTTATTGAGAAAATCAAGAGGTATTTATAGATTTTTATCTACATTGTTGTCCGCGGAGAAGCAACCTCTTCTGATTAGTTGTTTTCTTGCTGAAGGTTACTGTGTCATCTCTTTGTGGACGTTTCTGAGAAAGTTAAGCCATATATCTGCGAATCGTATTTGCATACGTTAAGTTGGCTGCGATTAGTTGGTGAGTTCCTCAAGGTTAGAGTTTGTTATTGTTTTTCTCATGACCCCGATTCCGGACGTAAACTTCTGTCTACAATTTTGGCTTGCAGTCAGCTCTCACCACAGGTTGACGTCAGTTAGAGAAACATCGTAAACCACCAGGGACTACTGGACGGCTGCTTCGTGCTAGTTTGCGACTCTTTAGCAATGCGCACCCACTGTGGTTCGAACCCAGGACCTTTCGATTACAAGGTGAGTTCATGGACCATCCAGCCACTCGGACGCCGCTGAATGCTCCATGAATATTGACTTCTACCGAAATCACAATTCCATGAAAGTTAGAATTCATGAGCCTTGTAACTGGAGGGTCCTGGGTTCGAGCTCAAGAGGGTGGCTACTATTGATGAGTACCGAACTAGGATAAAACAGATGTCCACTACTTTCCTGTGGTTTACAATGGTCCTTTAACTGACATTTATTCATTTGTGTCATAATAATAAAGCTTTATTTCCGACAATATGTGAACATACGGTGCAAAACTTTTCAGCGTATTCAGTTCCAACATACGTTTTTCTTCATACAGGATTTAAATGCAAAGTAATAATCTGAAGTATATATCTTTATTTCGTTGAAGAACTGTACAATGTTTACTTGGAAGCAAGTTAAATCAGCGCGCGATTTCATATATAGGTCACTTGATGTAACTGGAAGATTAAAACAATGATGATAAATCCAGATGAAATTAAGTATTTCAGTGGAAAGTGATTTCTGAAGCCCAGTGATCTAAGCAGACCGCCGGAAAAAATGGAGTGAGTGAAAAGACAACAAACTGTATGGAGAAATAATCACTTTCCAGGTGGATCCTGGTTAAGTATGCTCCTCTTATAAGTAAACTGCATTTATAATATCAAGCTTAATGTTCGAATCTAGTGGTGATACGATTTTAGATTGTGAAGTATTCTCATATCTTGAAAGTTCTTCTCGAAAAATCCTTCTTTTCAGGTTCTTATAATTGCAAAATATAATGTTAATCGTTACAGTAATGGCCGGTTGTGCAGCGGATACATTTTTTTAACGTAGAATAACAACAGATTAGTAGTTATTGGGTGGTAAAATAAATCGTATTTCTGTGACAAACGTGGTCTGAGCTCAATTCAGTTACAAAATATTGTGAAGCAGGAGATGGCGATGATGGCGATTAGTTACAACGCTGATTAGGATAACATTTGTATTCTGAAATCCACTATGGACAAATAGATTGTGCAGAAAACGTCCACCTAGAAATAAAGTAGGATTAAAAAGTCTAGAAAAGAGATCAGCTATAGCAATGCATGCTGTCTATGGACACCGGATATAAGATTGATTTCGACAATGTCAAAATTCTAGGAAGAGGCCTTGACTTTACTTAAAGAAGGGCTGACCTCTGAAGCGAAACAGATGAGGTAGAAAAACAAATTCAGTCCTATATTATAACCAACATGAAATGTTATCATGTTTTGGTGTTTTTTCCACATAAGGAAAAAATACACACATTCATGCAGACAATTTGACACCACTCATTACAGGTATGTGATTACGAGTGCCAAATAGGACAAAATGAGCATCCTGGTGGATTCCACTGCTAGTCACCGTCCACTATATGACTTCAAGTTACATGGCCAGATATCGTCGAAGCATCTGCACAAGGAGCCGACATATCAACCTGAGACCAAGCACTTCGGGTTAATTTAATCGACTGGAGAATCTAAATTAGATTAAGTAACTAATAAGACACGTTGCACAACAGGTGGCTCTCATGGCCATAAATGGTCTAGTCGATAACGCTTTGTCGTGGACAGTGGGTGCAAGCCTCAGTGGGAACTCTACCACTCACTGGGGAATGCAGTTACATTCAGATGACAAGTCCCAAACGGGGCGAAATGCGCATCCTGGATTCCACCGCTAGTCACCATAAGCCAGTTATGTGATGACTGGTTACACTTTTCTACTGGTACAAGAAATGTCTACCGACAAGTGACCTTCAAAGGAAGTCATTTCAATTTATGTAATTTTTCACTAATATAATTTGACAATTAATGAAATCTGAATAATTCTGCTGAAGAAACTGTGGCTTACCCGGCGAAACGAACAGAAAAATCTTGTTTTAATTTTTCCTAAACACGCTGGGATAATTTTAAATAATTTATAAGAAATGGAAAGAGTGACTACTAATAGGATCTATATATTCATTAAGGTTACATCGAATACATGTAACAAAGATGACTCAGCACATGTCAAGGAGCTTAGCCCTAAGTTCCTAATGTAACGAAGACGATTTGAACCGATAATGACTAAGTATTTGTTTCAACTTTAAATCCAAAACACCAGTATTCCTTGAACGAATTTTTATTGTTTGGCAATTAAAGCAAGACAAAATACAAAGTCTACAAACAAATGTTTAGTACAAATGAAGTTATAAAGTACTTTTATTCGTGTTTCTTTCCGCCTTCATCCAACTTGCACGCGATCGAACCATTCGCGCCTTCGAGTTGCCCACCAATGGCTGCCAGTTCCAATAAACAAACGTTCAATGTTCACGTTCATTGACAGCACATCTGTCAACAATGTGGAATACAATTCTGGATACACCAAAAAGGACTTTATATACATATGGTTACAAATTATAAATGTCTGAATTAAAAACAAAACAATTCCAACAGTTGATGTGATCACGGGCAGTAATTTTTCTCAAAATATTACCAAAAATCAAGAAAAAACTTATCATCGCTTGTAAACTAATGAAATATAATTATAATTTATTTGATCTGTTCCACAATGCACAAACTTTTCACAGACATTAATTAGTCACCATCAATTCACACAGTGTCACGAAGGATAACTGGCAAATCAGTTCAAGGTTATAAAGGGTGTCTAGTGAATGGATGGCTAGTTCTAGATAGTATGGATTAAAGTGGAGATAGGCTGTGGTAAATAGTTCATCATGAAACAGCTAAGATGTAAGATGAAACAGGTAAAGGCACATATTGAGAAAACAGATAGCTTTTTTCTCTCAATGAATCTTGAAGGATATCCATTTTCTATGAGGACTTGCTTGAGTCTCTCCAGTTCATCATCGATTGTATCATTGGAACATATCCTTCTTATTCTTGAGGATAAGGAGTGGATCGGATTTCTCTTTCTTCTCAAAGGGACCCAACTATGAATATTTATGTATTGACCACTCCATATTTGATTTCTTTAGATTGATCTTTCAAGAGAACCACTAGATCTCCTTTTTGGCAAAACATCCAAAAAGAGGAATTCCGAGTTAATCTCTGATTCCGATGTGAACTGGATGGCATGATGGCAGCTGTTGAACTCTTTAGTTATCATTTCAATGTTAGCGTTCTCGTCACATATGATGAAAGTATCATCCATGTATCTTTGGTACACTGGATAACTATCGATAGTGGGTCTCTAGACTTACCAAGAAGCAGTCTGTAAGTGAAGGACCCATTGGCGACCCCATTGACATCACTCCATCTCATTGTATATAGAGCGTGTTGTTGACCTTGAACTGGACATTGAAAGTGCATCACAACAGTAGTTCTTTTAAGTAGTGGATCGGAACACCCACGTCCAGATTATTATCCTCAAAGAATTTGCATATTAAGCAAATAGTTTCAGTGAGAGGAACATTAGTGAAGAGAGATGTAACATCCAGAGATATCATTTTCTTCACGGATACATTAGGATCACTTATTGAATCGATGAATTCAAATGAATCTGAAACACTATGCTGACAGAGATTATTTCTACAAGGTAGAAGTATGTTTGTGAGCCGTTCGGTAGTAGCATGTGTAGTGTTTATGAGTTAATCAAACATTCACCGATCAAGTGAGAATACTGAGGGCCCGCAATAAAGGCTTTATTCGTTTTATAATTCCAGTATAGAATCTGGTTTAAACAAAAATGAA